ATGATGATGATATGAAGGCTTTTGCTAAGAGTGCTTTTTCTCTATTTGCCAAGGTGCTTTCACTTTGCTCAATCTCCCATAAAGGATTCTGGCTGCAAAGACAGACATTGCATAAACGTGCCTCATATGGGGAGATTGGACAAAAGGTGTCTTGAATTTAATGATATACATAGGCTACTTAATAATTAGGAGGGCACTGGGGCATTGGTGATGGTAATCCATTTCTCACTCTCCCTGAAGAGTTTCCTGGACTGGCCATCAGTATAGGCTTAAACGGGAGTGTGTGTGTGTGTGTTTTTTTTCGAACTGCAAATGGAAGTTTTTGGGGAGAGAGTAGATAAGATTTTATAATGATTTCATGATTAATTACCCTTCATGATCAGCAATCCCAGTGGCCACTATAGTCCTACCAATATATATCTATAGCACTATCTATGGAGAGGACGGTGGCAAGTGGGATTCAATTGATCATAATACCTTCTAGCCATAGGGTGGTCCAAAAATATGATCAGCAGTGGAGAGAAAAAGCCTTCCTCCCCGCAAATGCATCTTCTTTATACCTCTCTTTAACTTTGATAAACAAAAAGCATTGCTTAATTTCCCCTCTCAAAAAGCCTAAAAAATCTCTGGTTTTCGCTATTCAACCATCAGCAATGGATGTCCTTTTTCTAGCCAAAAAAAAAAAAACCATCAAAACATAGGCATTTGTTCTTGAAAAATAAGATCAGTGTTGAATCTGTAAGGTTTTTGAACAAAGGGAAAGGTGGGGAGAAAGGCAAAGGTAAATGGTGAATGCGAACAAGACAAGCACTTGCATGTGATGAAGATGACCCACAAGTCAGGACTCTGTACGAGTACTCTGCCTAGCTGAAAACCCAGAAACCATTTCAAGTATATATGTTTTCCGGACTATATCCTTTCATAACCTTAACTAGAAAAAGTAGTGGGGAACACCAACGTCAATATGAATTGTTTTAAATCACCTGCCATTTCTACCTAAAATTAAAGCAGGAATTTAGTTGTATATATACTTGGATTTCTCATTTCTTTTGTTTATACGTCTCTGAGTAGGGTCATTGGCATTCATGGGCGCATACATTGAACTAAAGGTCTATCTTCGAAATTAATTAAGGATAATAATCTCTTACTAATTATAGCCCCAAGCAATATAAACATAAAAAACTTTTTCCTTTTTGTGCTTAAATACTACATTAATTTCTCCACTGTGATTTAATTTTCTCACTTATATTAAATAAATATTGTCTAAATTAATTATCTCACTTCATATTATAAAGAGATATAAAGTACCAATATTTCAATTTCATTTTTATTTGGGAAGAAATAAAATAATTACGTCATAGGTTTTTTTGTTTAATTACCAGTAAAATTGAAAATAGAAAGATAAACCCAATAAAATTATTAAATGTCAGTACAATTTCAATTTTATTCTTATTTAGGATGAAATAAAGATGTTTTACAGTTTTTTTCTTTTTTAATTCTGAGTAAAGTTGAAAATAAAAAGATAAACTTTAATTATTGTATTACACGTGTTTCTTGGTAATTGTAGATGAATTAAATAACACAACTAAATTTTTAAGTATCTAATTTCCAAAAAAAAATAAAAAGACTATTATATTTTATTATACAAAACAAAACACAAATTACAACGACAAACTAAATCATCCAAATCCATATATAACATAAACTCAAAGATACATATAACACCATAGACAGAATAAGATGAGCAAATTTCAAGATCTTAGAGCTAAATAGATAGGTGGCATTATGATAAAAATAGAGAGATTTCTGGATTCAGATCTCCCAAGCTAGAAGTCATCAGACTAATTAGCCCCTCTCGATCTGAGATAAAACCAGGCGTACACGCACAAAGTACAAACCAAGACATCAAATAAACTTCTTAATTCTAGCTGTTGCGCCGCGCGCCCTTGTTAAGCAAGCTCTTGATTCTTCTCCACAACTCTCACCCCCTCCGCAGATCTAAGTGCATTGGCCTGAGATATATACGAATAAACAACCATTATATTTAAACTACAAAAAGACCCAAGAAAGAAAGAGCAAAATTTAGAACATGGAGATATAAAGATCACCTGTTCTTCAGTAATTTCAACTGCAAAACCATCAACAATGACCAAAGAAGAGGTCTTTTTGTAGCTTCCAGGTTCAAGAGTGCTTGCCAACAATGCATCGTGCTTTCTGCTCAGGTACGAATCCAGCTCACTTGCACCTTTCTTTGTTCTGCAAAACGTATATGGGAGACTCAAAACATTAGAAACCGTAATATAAATGAAGTGTTGATACACTACTAAAGAAAGGAACTAACCGATCAGCTCGAAGACGCTCATATTCAGGATCATAATTCATAAAAACGAAATAAGGCTCACGTTTGTTGCTCTCCATTATCACCCTCTTCTAACTTAGTTTTGTGTTCTTCAGGAGATATAGCTCTATAGTTTGTTTTGTCATATATTTTCCGCCCCATGGGGTAGGTATTTATACCAAAAGCAGCGATACAAGCTCAAAATCATGGGAGACCCATTTCCAACTTGTTGCCAATCAGTCATTCACAGGTGTTGTTTTATCTGCCATAAAATTAAAAAAAAAAAAGAGAAAAGAATATATATATTAAGATCATTAAATTTTTTATTTTTTAAATAGTATTTAAGAATATTAATTTGTTAGTTAATTTTA